AGAATTCACAAAAGGCGGGGGGGACCAATAATTCTCCAACACTTTCTGACTGGTAGCACCAGGACCCTGGAAGAATCCCAAGCCTGTTGAAAATATGCTGCTGAACAGGAAAAGCAAAGGAGTTGTAAGTTCTAACCAGAAATATAAAATACATATGTGCCTAGTATATCCACTTATACTCACAAGCACACACGTGTGCATCCTAGGAATGTGTGACTCAGTAAACCCCTTTTCTGCTTTACTGTCAGCAAGGCATTATTCAACTCCAGCTTTTTGAATATATATGGGGTGTGTTTCTGTGTATGTCTCTGTGTAAGGAAAACTGTAATTGTTTACATTTGCAATATCCTGACATATATGAGAGCCTTGTACATGACTTCCTTTAATTTTTGTAACTGTTAACAGACATTTAATACAAATCAGATTGTTTTCATCCATTTCCCTGATGCGGGCATTTGAAAAGCAACGTTTCCCAATGTCCCCTCTTTTCTGAGACGCATGTCTTGCCGTCTGCAAACAACTTTAATTAGCTATTTTTTTCTAGACACATTCCTGGATTATCAGTTAGGGAAAAAAACAAAGACCAGCAGGTTTTGTTTGCTATATTGATGCCACATTCCAACAGGGATAAAAAGCCTAAATCTGCTCAGTTTATTGCAGATTTTCTTTTATGTGGTACCCCATGTGAATGAGCATGCACACATGCAATTTAGGTGGGAAAGTTTGAAGAGGAAAACAGCAGCAAGGAAGACGCAAACGAAGCCTCTATTCTTTGAACCATAGGAATGATAGCGATTCTTCTGTAAACAGGTGAATATATTTGAAGAGCGGCAAACCCGTTTAGCTGCATGCAATGTGATCAATTTGAAATACTCTTCTAAATTTGTTTTCTCAGGATCACTGCATTGTTAACAGACTCTTCTGCAATCTGTTTTTAAAAGTATATGGTACCAATTAAAGCAATCAGCTCTCAAGTTTATGGAAAGAATGTTCCGAGCAATTTGTCCAGCAATGTCAAGAGCCCTTCAACTGACCTCAAAAACCATTCATACAAGTCCAGTTCCAGGGAGAGTTGGATGCCATTTTCCAACATGGGCCGAGTATGAAACGGAGCAACTAGATAGGATTTCCCCCATCCTCTCAAACTATCCTTGTACATTATTCTAAGTCACCAAGCATGACTTTCCCATGAGAGTTAGTGATATGAGTGGGTGCTGACCAGGAAAAATATTTTATACATTAGTCCCTTTTCCCAAGGGTAAGAAAGATTCATACTCTTGCATCTTTATACTCTCAAGAACTGCAGTCACTTGGGGCATCCAGGGACTCTCAGCAGAGTTCAGATGGTTTGGTGGGAAAAAATTGGAAGAGTGTAAGAATACAAGTAGTGCAAAAATTGGTTCAGGGAGCATACCTCATCAGAGGATTGGTCCAAAGGGTAGCATATTTCAGAAACCTGCCAGAATGTTCATATCTGGATCCAGACCCTTAACGTTCTCTGCAAAGTGCCATTTTTAAAAAAAAACAATTGTAATTTTGGCAGTAGGATTAAAGGCCTGAATATGTAGATACTGAACACAATTCAGTAGTCTCTACTCTAACAAGACAAAAAGGAGCTTTAATATTTCTTAGGCTTTGAGAAATTTAAGAAGCATATTTAAAATGGAGATGGGAATCTGGTTGATAGAAAAAGGGGTGAATCTCAGGCTTCAAGCTAAAATCTTACCTTTTTGATGAGTTGAGGTAGTATTGTGATAGGTGCAAAAGTATAATTTCAGGATGGAAATTGTTCTCATTCTGAGTTAGTTTTATGATATCAGTCACACAATGAAATCAGCGTGGCTGACTGAACATCACACTGAGTATGTGATCCCTGATTGGTGGGTCTTGTAGCCAGCTTATGTCTCAGGGGTCACAGCTGGATAAGGAGATTGAGCAAAGCCAGCAATGGCAGATGAAATCATCTCTTTTCTGCTATCCAATTCTCCAAACCCCAACCCTCTGTCTCTCTTCCACACTCACACACACCCAAATCCTTCTTTCTGTTTCTATAACCCTGTTTTCATCCTCCCTTCTTCCTTTTTCCTGCTTAGAGGATGACCTGAAATAGGATGAAAGACTCTTGCCACAGATCTGAACTGCTCACTTGCAGAGGGCTATAGAAATTATGCTGTGGGCCACTCAGGGACATCAGTGGGGTAATCAAAAAGTCACAGTGGTGAATCAGTTAAATTTCGTGCCATATTAATGGATGTGTACACACAGTACTGGTAAAACACCACAAAATAATCCCGATGCAATTATATATGTACCTGTACATGCAATCAAGCTCAAGATTGGATTTTTGTAGTGTTCTCTCTCTAGCTGTACCTTGCATTAGCAATATAGATGGTGGGGAGAGACATGAAGTAACAAAGCATTGTGGCAAAGTGCTCATTCACAATTTTCTGTATACAATTTAGAGATAAAGAATATGAAAAGTGATGGTGGGGTTTTTTCACTTCAGAATTTGGAACTCCAAAACATATATCCAACCCAGTCAGGAATCAGGTAGTGAGATGAACTATGATGGCATCACTAGCAGGAAAGTAGGGCAAGTAACAGGTCAGATTGAACAAGTAAGGTAATTATTTTGCTGTATGACTGCTGATTTTCATATAATATATTTAAACACTAGGTTGCATTGAGGACAACCTAAAAAATAGGTGGCTGAAGAATGCACATTTCAAACAGTCCAGATAAGGCCCATGTTAGTTATCTGTCCCCTCCCTTACAATATGTGCCATTTTAAGAAGTCTATTAGCCCAAATAAAATCAAGAGAAATTCAGTCATGCCTATTTCAGTCTGCAGGCTGTCCATGTAGCTGAACTTGGTCAAAGTGTACAGAAATTGCAACAACCCACACCACATGGATCATTGCAAGTATGAATCAAATCTAAATATAGATAGTAAATGATACTACTCCCCTCCATAGACCATTTTCTGCTGCACCCTATAGTAAATTTCTGCACCAGCACCAGTCCCATTCATTTGCAAGAGATTAATACTAATAGCCAAATACAGTCACACCAATTAACTTACCCAAAGAAATGAGAATAAACCTAGTGCCATAGTTGCCTTGAGTACAGGCAATACATACACCCTGATGTTCTTCACTCCAATCAGCAGAGGATAAAACAGTGGCTCTGGTTATCCTAAAGTAGCTCAGAAACTAGAATGAAGCTGCCAGTAAATGAGCCAGGGTGGCCTTATATAAGACAAAATGAGGTGGTCACTACATGGTAGATGCTGGCAGTGGGATGTTGAAGTATATAGGCCTGTGTTGTGTCCTTTAATTTAAAGTAGCCAGCTTTCCACATAGCGCAGGAGAAGATACTGACTTGCTTTGCATCCTTGGGCAACAATAGCATTGTGTCTTGGACCAGCCCTAATATCTATTAGTATGTAGTGCAAATGCTGGTAGCCTGAATATCTTTAATATTACTGGCTCGTGAGCTGCAGCTATGATCATTTCACTGCAGTCCTCTGCTTAATTGACTGATTCAATATTTTTTTTTCCAGAACTTTTATGTCCACTAAAGAGAAAACAAGATGTAATTTCACTGCCATACAGAAATACTACAAAAGTGGAACTGTGCTGTGGAAATTGCTGGATTTTTTAACACAATCCAGAATAGCTTGTGTATTTTTACTCAAGGGTGTGGTGTAAAGAACAGAATAAAGCTGGGGATTTGGGCTATATGCGAGATCCTTTGGGAAAAAAACTAGAACTGATGGAAGCATAACAAGTAATGTTTTCCAGAGATGAGCAATCATATCCAAATGCAAGACTTAAAGCCTTTCGACAAGATTCCTTGTGAAGTAAGCCAAGCTTGGTCCGTGCAGTTTGGGCAGCTTTGAAAAATTATTTCCTTTGTTTTATGAGAAAAGCTACAAACTGGAGAGATTCCTTAAATGGCAGCCTAGCTGTGCTGAGTCCAAGTTCTGTCATTTATGCTGGGGTGAGCTGCATAACGACCTCAAACACTGAATGAGTATGTTGAGGGACACATAGCCCCTTGGGGGATAAGCCCCATTGGCTGTTATCTCACATAATGCTAAAAATACAGTGGCTAAGTCAAAACCAAACAAAATGCAGATTTGACTGTTTGCTAACGTGTGTGTGTGTGTGTGTATGTGTGTATAATAGTATTATATATAGTATACTAGGTTCCAGCATATAGGAGCAGCCACAGAGAAGGCACATCATCTGGTTCCTGCCTCTTTGCATTACATTAATTGGGGACCTCACTATTGCTTCCCGTAAAGAACACATACTGCAGGCTGAGTCTTGTTGGAAAATTTGGTCCTGTAATTACCCCAGGGTCAAGCCATGTAGGGCTTTACAGATGATAACCAGCATTTTGAACTGGACCCTCAAGCAAACTGGTAACCAATGCAGTGACCATAGTGGTGGTATCGGACTGCTAAATCTACAACCCCCAGTTTCAACTGATTATAGTTTCCAAGTCATCTGCAAAGGAAGCCCATGTAGTCACAATCTTCTGCATACAATTTAGAGATAAATAATATGAAAAGTGATGGTAGTTTTTTTCACTTCAGAATTCAGAATTGTAAATTTGGAAATCCAAAACATATATCCAACCCAGTCAGGAATCAGGTAGTGAGAAGAACTATGATGGATGAAATCATCCAGCAATTTCATGTAGATGTTAAATAGCAGGGGAAAGAGCCAAGCAACCATAATCATGATAGTTCTTCTATACATACAGATTGGCACTGCCCACTCAGAAAAGAGCAGAAGCATTGCAGAACGTGCTTCCAATCTCCAGCCTTTAAGTGGTCCAGAAGAATATTATGGTGAATGGTACTGAATGTCACAGAGATCTAACAGCACTAGGAAGAATGTGTTCCCACCATCCAGGACCTGACAAAGATGATTCACCATGGTGACCGATGCTGCTTCTGTCCCAGGCTGAACCCAGACTGAAAAGGTCCAGAAAAATCTGTTTCCTCTAGGACCTCCTATAGCTGAAGCCCCATGGCCTTCTTCAAAAACCTTTCCTAAAAAGTCGAGGTTGGAGATCAGCCAGTAGTATCCAAAATGGTTGGATTAATACAACAGGTCTGCTAGGTGGTTCTGTTTGCTGACAATCACCAAAGAACTTTCATTGCTTTAATACATACTCAAGGCACACCTACTTATACTCAGCATAACCCAGAGGAAAGTACCGCTGTGCAGACCATAGTGAAATCAGTAGTGACCTCAATCTCCATGTGAACTGAGCAGGCAAATTTCCCAATGAATTATGCCTGCTGTCTATAACTTTGTATTTTTAAAATTACAAAACAAACTAAATGATGCAGTAAAATGTATAGTGTTCAGAATAATATCATGAATCTCTTTTTTGTGTTTTTGTTGTGTGAGATGTCAATCAGTGTCTGATGTCTAACGACAATATTTGGATGAATATTTCATCATGAAACACTAGGCAGACTTGAACTTGCCATTCAGGTTTCAGAGAAAATTTTATTTTTTCCTATGCATGTATTCAGGTTCTTCATTTCCAACATGTGTTCATGTGAAGAAGTCCATGTAGATAGACATCAGGCCCTGAATTATATCATTTGACTGTAATGCATGTTTCTGGGTCAGTGTTTACTCATAGTGTAAAACTAGCTAAGGCAAGCAGCATCTGATATAACTGCATATATTTTAGAATGTGGGAAATCACCTGGTTGTTTTTCACTTAAATATATTGCACTAAAATTGAGTAGATGATTGTGCATTCTTCCATTGGGGAAAACTAACACCTTTTTCTCATTAAAGATCCAGAATCTTCTCACTCTACACAATTAGGTTCTACATTCAAGCATTAGCCTGAAAAAAAATCCAGTTCTTTCTATTGATCTCAGGATTCCAGCACTGCCTCCTAACCCAAATTCTGTTTAGACATTCAGATCTCCCATGCCATTGGAAGCACATGACAAGTTACAGGGAAAAGTGCACTAGCTCTGGGGAATCAGTCAGCTGGCTCTGTCCTTTCCATATTGCATCTTCATTGCTGATTTACATTCCCAGGTAGGCTTCCTGCATTATGAAAGCCCTGGATGTCGGGACCCTAAATGAAAAACCATGGAACCTCCTTTGTACAGAGTCAGACTATCATTCTGTCTAGCCCAGTTGAGAAGTGACTGGCAATGGCTCTTCAGGATTTCCACAGGACTTTTCGCTCCTACGAGATGTCAGGGATTGAATTTGGGACCTTCTGCTCACAACATTTCTGGTCTACAAGCTACAGTCCTTCCCAATTCCAGTCTCTCTCCTGCAGACATCAACCTCTGACTCATGGAAAGCAATGGAAATGATTGGTGTGGCCATCCTCAATTTTCCTAATATAATTTTAACTGCAAAGAGTGTTTGAACATGCACACAGTTTTGCAGTAAAATGTAACACGTGCATAGCATTATATTCAAATAAAGCCGTTGAGATAAAACTGCATTATAAGGGCCAAGCAGAGGCATTTCAAATATATTCTAAAAAGCTTGATTCAGATAACTATAATATGGAATCTGCTTTTCATGGAAAGTTTAACTTGCCCAAGATTGGCCTCTTTGGGGACATGGAAACTGGCAGACTTTCTGGCAATTGTTCTCTTTTGTGATTGTGAAGATTTTAAAGAAATATGCCTGAACAACTCTGATTTTTTTTTCTTTACTAAGGGAATCAATTTCACATGCTACTGATTTTGTAACTAGCAAGCAGTGTTTGAAGCTCTTTTGGTTCCAAGATGTTCTCACTGAGTCTATGTTACTTTGGGAGAAAGGAGATGTTTAAGTCCTTAGGTTGTTGGAAAACTTTATATAGATACTTGTATTTATATCTTTGATAATTGTAAGAAAAATAATGGCATTTATTTTCTATTTTACCTATTCATCTGATAAAACAAAATGCACCAAGAACGTGGCTAAGCATTTAGCTTTATTTAGCTGTTAGACACAAGGGCATCTAACACTAGTGCATAGGATTAACAACTGGAGTCCATCCTTGGCCATGAAGCCTTGTTTCACACAGCCGAAGTTTCATGTCCAGACTCTAAGGCACTGTTGTCCGAACTTGGCCACTTTAAGATGAGTGGACTTCAACTCCCAGAATCTC